GGGATGGCTCAACCCACATGGGGCCTTGGTGGTCCCAATCATGTGTTCAGCGTGGTTTGGGAGAAGGTTCCTTGGATTCCGGTAGTGACACTTCTTGGTCTTTTTTTAACAATCGATGCAGCATTGTAGATGAGAGTACGCAGGCTGCTGGGCAAAGACGACTCCATTGGCTCAAGCTGTTGCCTTTTAGCCCAGAACGAGCTCTCCTGACACAGCGACCATGTTGCCCGAATTTCGGAAAAGACAAGTTCTGAGTTTGTCCCAAGCCGTGTCGCTTGTTTCCTTTATTTTGGGGTTCCACATTTATAAAAGAAAGTAAGGGACCAACATCCCAACTCAAGTTAAGGCCCCCAATTGGCAACATACATACCCACTACTCAAGATCCGCCCAAAAAATATTCCTCTACAAATAAGTTTGCGATGTTGCGGTCCCATTTTCGAGCTTCAGGGGTACACCCTCAAGCCCATACGTTAATTTGTTTTCTCAAGCAGACCTTTTGTCAGCTTCCGCTTTAGGAGGGAAGTTGTGGATTGCCCACGCTCTAAATTCCTTTTTGGTTGCGGATCCACTAAATATGGTCCGCACCACGAAGGATTCCCTTCTACGGGGGGTTGCTGGGCAACTACGGGTGTAGCTGATTTTTTTTCCACATGTTCCTTGGCCTGGGTGACCAAGGCCCCTCCTGCCATCGTCCTGGCGTGGGGCCCAATGTGGTCTGTAGCAGGTTGTTCCCCATTCGAGCCGCAGATTTCAAGGTGCAACTTTGTTTTGCGTGTGTGGCCTGAAACAGGGAACATGTTTGAACAAGGAAAACAACAGTAAACCCACCCTAGGCTTCTCGCGCGGTACGTGGCAGATGTTCCAGTTGGTGAGGCGAGTTCTCCTCTCACCTGTGGTTAAGCAACAGCTAACTGGTTGCCACATAGAACCAAAAGGATCGAGCACGACATTGCGTGCCCTGTAATCCTCAGGGTGGGGTCACTCCGCACATCTATTGGTGACATTTGTCTATAGATCAGATTTGTTGCTCCTGCTTGTGGTAAAAGGAGAGTCATGCATACCAATCGGGGGACATTGCCAGCTAGGAGTATGGATATGGAATCTCCAACTTCTTTTCAAGGACTGGCAATTGGAGGCGCGTCCTAATGTCTCTCTGGGTTGCACTTGCGGGCCCATTTTTAGTCAAGGTCCCAAAAGGTTGACCTGTTTTTCAGGCGCCTTCGAGATTCTTTTTTTTTTTTTTTTTTCGTGGGACGACCAATTCCTGGCCAAGAGGTTTGCTCATTCCTTTGCAAACAAAACGTAAAACGATTCGGAAAGGCAACAGCAACATAGCGTGAAGCGCTGTGCACAGGTTGCTCTTTCAACACAGAGTTTGTTTGGGAAGGGTTCCCATTTAGAGGAAAAGTCAAAACAATACGGTGACACGTTTGTTTCCAACTACCACTGTGAACGGGGTTAGAAGGTTGTGTCAGGTGCCACTCGAGTCATGCCGAGTCATGTTTGCTCAGGGGCGAACTCACAGCAAGCTCCTGGTGATGGACAAGGAGGATCGGAACTTCGAAGCGTCCCGTTGACACCGTCCCAATTAACCGTGCACACATCCCAATCACCCACCTCAACAAGGCAAGAGACCAACAACAACTGCCAATCTTTCACTCAACCAGTTGTGAACCATCCCAACTCTGAATGTCAGCTCAAAGGAAAGCTGCTCAACGCAACCCCAAATCCAGCACCATCCATTTGAACGACCCGCCTACACCATTGACCATTGTGGGCCAAGCCGACCTTCATCCAGGCAATTCAGCCCTTCCCTCAAATTGAACAAACCCAGCCTCAATCACTACTAAGACCATCCAAACTCAAGCCTGGATTCACCGGAACCGAACCAACCAACAAACCAGCCAGTCAGCCAGCCAGCCAACCAACCAACCAACACAGGCCTAAACCAACGCTCGAACCAAGATCGACCAGAAGGTTAAAGCCAGCTTGAAACCAGCTTGACACCATCCCAAGAGAACCCCAAACAAACTTGGAGTCCAACCCCAAGCGGATCTTGGATTGACTGGTTGCCAACCTAATCCCAAAGAGTGCTGCCCCACCTTTGTTCCTTTTTTTTTAATCAACTAGACAACTTTTGCATGCTCGAAATGGCCCGAAACATGGAATGAGCCATGCAGCTGCTCTCCCCCCTAGACGCAAACGGGATGTCGCCCAACCCGGAGTTTGGCTGCTTTGGTTTTGATTTGGTTTGCTTTTTCCGCTGTGTTCGATTTGCTTGTTTGTGTTGGCTGTGCGCCTGCTGCCTTGCCTGCGTGCTTGGTGTTTTCTTTGAGTGCTTGTTTGCTTCGGGTGGTGGATTCGGCATTGTGTGGCTTCGGTTTGAGCTTTGCTGCCAGGAACTCATCACCGGCTTCGCTGATGAGATTAAGAAGCGGGACGAGGTCCGCCTGGGGCTCCCTTTTGGAATCCGCATCGTTGTTAATGTGGGCGGCCTTTGAAAAGGAGGCCTAAAAGGAAGGCCACCATTTGTGTACACACCAGGGTCGCCAGGGTGTGTCTCGACATGAGGTGGCCCTTTGTGAGCTGGTTTCATCCATTTTTGTGGCCATCTAATGTCGAGAGACACTCCAAGATGTCTCGTTTATTCTCCATTTTGGAGGGCTTGCTGAAAATTCCCCAAAAATAATAGACGTTCCCATGTCCAGCAGGGTAACTTGCTCTTAAGGCGAATCCACAAGCAAACCGTTGCTGCTATATAGCTCCACGTTGTGGGAGAGCCCAAGCCAGGGCTCGTGGGTTGTCTGGAGATACCTGGTCAATATTATAACTCCTCTTGGGAGCCACTCATGATTTTGGCAACTTGTGGGAATGTGACCACACCAATAATCGACCCCTCCGGCCGTTTTCAAAGAGGTCCAACTTGTTTCCCCTTTGTTCAGTAGCATCCATCCTTGTTCCCTTCTTCGTCCCAACCACTTTCCTCAGAATAAAAGCACCAGAGGGCTTACTTGTGGCCCCGCGCCTGGGCTTTGGCAGGAGATTCGGATGTTGCGAGCCCTCCTGGCACAGAGATGAGGACGCGAGCTCAGCCGACGTTGCGAGCAGTCCACACGTGCCATGATTCGTCGCGCGCGCCTTTGTGTTTGAGCAAGTAAAACTGTGCGTTTGAAAGTTTGGCCCTCCGAGTGGTTGGTGCTTTTGGTTTCTAGGTAGATGTGACAGGCTCGTGGCCCTTAAGTGTGGAACCCCTCACCAACAGGCAATGGTAAGGCTTTTCCAAGCCAGTTATATAAGTATGTCAATGATCGAAGCCTTTCCCCAGTAGATTTGACCAAGGCTGGCAATTGATAGGAGCTGGGAATATTGTTGGCAATATTGATCCAGGATGTATCAATCGCTGGGGTGAACTAGTAGGGGGTGTCTCCGTTAGAAGGCATCCTTCACTCTCCCTATTCATGCGGAAGGTTAATTTGTGCTGAGCAATAGTCTATAGCAACGAATACCAGTAGAGCCAGCGAAGCCCGTAGGCAGCCGTTTTGGTATTGTCCTTTGCTTCTCTAATGCTGTCTGCTTATTGATTTCCTTGTTTTCAGTGTTCCCTTTATCTCCTTCTTTCTTTGCTTATGTATTTGTTTGTATTATTTATTGATTGCTTTATTGATTGCTTTATTGTTTGCTTTTTGTTTATTATTTATTTGTATTATTATTATGTTTTCTTAATTATTTATGTCTTTCTGCCGTTCGCTCTGTTTTTCATTTATGTCTATCTTTCTTATATTTGCATATCGATCTCTCTCTATATATGTATATATATCTATTCTATCCATCTATCTATCTAACTAACTAATCAATGAATCAATCAATCAATCTATCTATCTATATATCTACCCACCTATCTCTCTATCCATCCAACTGTTTGTCTGTCTGTCTATCTATCTATCTATCTATCGATCTGTCTGTCTGTCTATCTATCTGTCTATCTATGTATCTATATATTTATTTGTTTATCTATCTATCTATCTGTCTATCTATCTATATATATATATATCTGTTTATTTATTTATCTATTAAATTTATGTTATACATCTATCTATCGATCGATCAATCTGTCTATCTGTCTATCTATCTATCTAATCTATCTATCTATCTATCTATCTATCTATCTATCTATCTATCTATCTATCTATCTATCTATCTATCTATCTATCTAATCTATCTATCTATCTATCTATCTATCTATCTATCTATCTATCTATCTAATCTATCTATCTATCTATCTATCTATCTATCGATCTATCTAATCTATCTATATATCTATCTATCTATCTATCTATCTATCTATCTATCTATCTATCTATCTATCTATCTATCTATCTATCTATCTATCTATCTATCTATCTATCTATCTATCTATCTATCTATCTATCTATCTATCTATCTATCTATCTATCTATCTATCTATCTATCTATCTATCTATCTATCTATCTATCTATCTATCTATCTATCTATCTATCTATCTATCTATCTATCTATCTATCTATCTATCTATCTATCTATCTATCTATCTATCTATCTATCTATCTATCTATCTATCTATCTATCTATCTATCTATCTATCTATCTATCTATCTATCTATCTATCTATCTATCTATCTATCTATCTATCTATCTATCTATCTATCTATCTATCTATCTATCTATCTATCTATCTATCTATCTATCTATCTATCTATCTATCTATCTATCTATCTATCTATCTATCTATCTATCTATCTATCTATCTATCTATCTATCTATCTATATCTATCTATCTATCTATCTATCTATCTATCTATCTATCTATCTATCTATCTATCTATCTATCTATCTATCTATCTATCTATCTATCTATCTATCTATCTGCTTTCTATATCTCTCTCTATCTATCTATCTCTATCTATCTATCTATCTATCTCTATCTATCTATCTATCTATCTATCTATCTATCTATCTCTATCTATCTATCTCTATCTATCTATCTATGTACCTACCTATCCATCTATCTATCTATCTATCTATCTATCTATCTATCTATCTATCTATGTATAATTTCAATATATATATATAATATATTCAGTATCTCTATCAATCTAATGTAATCCAACCTAGTCTATTTTAATCCAATCCATCTATACATGCCTCTCTCTCTCTCTCTCTCCACATATATATATATATATATGGTATTTTCCGTCTCTGTATCAATCCATTTGTCTGTCTATCCATCTATCTATGTATCTATCTATGTAGCTATCTAGCTATCTAGCTATCTCCCCTCTATGTATCTCACTACCTATCTATTGTCCAATCGAATCTATCTATCTCTATCCTATCTCTCTCTCTCTCTCTCTCTGTTTCTCTGTCTCTTTCTGTCTCCCTGTCTCCTTTCTGTCCACACCCCTCTACAGAAAAAGGGTACCCTCGTTCTAACCTCTCTACTGGAGGACCTAGCCTCTCTCTGTCTCTCTCTCTCTTTCTCTTTCTCGCGCTTTCTCTCTGTCTCTCTCTCTGTTTTTTTGTGTTTTTGTCTTTCTCTGTCTCTCTCTGTCTCTCTCTTTCTCTCTCTCTCTCTCTACCTGTCTCTTTCTCTGTCTCTTTCTCTGACTCTGGCTCTGTCTCTGCCTCTCTCTCTCTCTCTTTCTCGCTCTCTGTGTCTATCTCTCTCTCTCTCTCTTTCCCTCTCTATCTGTCTCCCGCTCTCTCCCTCTCTCTCTCTCTCTATCTCTCTCTCTCTCTCTGCATTGCAGCGTCACATCCCCCCTGACTTGCCTCGATGTCCGGGAACTGCCCCTTCATGACCCTGAACTGTCATCTCACTACTGGCTTTCCCCTTGATTTCCCCTTCATGTCCTTTTCACGTTTCCCATGATGTCCTGGTCATGTCCCTTCCATTCCTTTCAACTCCCTCTTCATGTCCCTGTCATTTTCACGGTATGACAGCTTCATTGTGCATGTATGTATGTATGTCTGTTGTCTGTCTGTCTGTCTGTCTGTCTGTCTATCTGTATGTATGTATGTATGTATGTATGTGATGTATGTGATGTATGTGATGATGTGATGATGTGATGTATGTACGTACGTATGTACGTACGTACGTATGTGTGTATGTATGTATGTATGTATGTATGTATGTATGTATGTATGTATGTATGTATGTATGTAATGTATGTATGTATGTATGTATGTATGTATGTATGTAATGTAATGTAATGTAATGTAATGTAATGTAATGTAATGTAATGTATGTATGTATGTATGTATCTATGTATGTATGTATGTATGTATGTATGTATGTAATGTATGTAATGTATGTATGTATGTATATATGTATGTATGTATATATATATATATGTAT